TACTTCTGGATGCCGTGCTTTTCTGGCTCCTGACACTAGGACTTTGGCTCAGGGAAGAGACCGTTGCATAATCATACAGCAATAGCATGGCTTGGATGGGAAATGACCTTAAAGACCAACCCCTGCTGTGGGCAGGATTACAGTGTATTAGGTTGCCTAGGGCCTCATCCAACCTGACCTTGAACATCTCCATATTGGGTGGAACAGAGGACTCTCAGAAACCCAAATTGTCACTCTGTGTCGAGGACTACTGCTTTGGGAGATAACAGATAAATAAGCCAGATATTTCCTGGCTGCTTGGCAAGAAGTCAGTCCTTTACCTGAGAAAATGGGGGAATTGCTGACTGAATGACATGGCTGTGCCACCAAGTTGATGACATCAGGGCTCAAGGAAATGGCCGGAGAGGTGAAACAGGATTGAAGTAAGGATTATTTTGATAGCTGTGTTGGCAGAAGCTCTGAAGCAAGCCAGCAGGACACAACAGGTGGAAAGTGGGAAAGCAAATGTGTGGGTGGGTGGGCACTGGAGGAAGCTCCGGTGGAAGAGCTGGAAGAGGCAGTAAAATAGATGGAACAAGATCAGACAGCATGAAAAGCAAAATAAAGGAGAACATTTTTTTTATTTTAATTGATTGCAGTATGCACTTGCAAGGAAACTGAAGGGCAAAAACATATTTTTATAGGATCAATTTTTAATAAGCACATTTATGTGGGAAAAAAATAATTCTGAATAATTAAATACCTTCATCTTGGCATCATTCATTGCAATCGTTATGGAGTGGCTGTCTGTTTATATGCAGACATGACAGCAGTCACTGTTATGAAACTTGCCTCATTCCTGCCAGTGTAACATCCTCTTTCCCTTTGCTTCTAATTTTGCCAAACCTCACGTGTTCATGCTGAAATTTTTCAAGCTGATCATCTGTCTTGCTCTGATATTTTTTTTCAGTCAAAGCTATTTCATCATTTCCTAAATTAAGACTAGAAGGGAAAAATATGTTGTGTGGCAGTGGCAGTTATAATTCCTTTTACTTGGTGGCATCAACCACTCAGGAGAAAAAAAAGCTCTGAAACTGGCCCATGTAAAATGAGCAGATTCTGCAGCTTTTAGAGATAAATGCAAGAAAGAAAAAAGAAAAAAGGTTAAGTCCCCAGGGAATGATTACAAGGCTTAAACAATTCTGGTGTCACTCGGGGCTGGATGGGAAGATCCCAGTTCTGTGAATGAAAACCCTTACAAGAGACTGGGAATGTGGTACACTAGTTACAGATGTTCTGTTTTGCATCTCCATGAAATGGGAACCATTTACTGTCTTGAAAATATGAGCCAAGGGATATACAGTAAGCCTACAGTCATTGACAGTTTAAGATGACTATTAAGACTCCTGGAAAGTTTTATTTCATGTCAAGTGCTTGCAGTATGAGCTGCAAACCCATGAAAACCTGTACAAACCAAGAGCATGGGATGTTTCCTGGGATTCTTGTTCCCAGTTGGCCTGAAACCAAATGCCATGATGCTGAGTGGGGAGTATCTGTCCTTGTGCTCTCTGAGTGTGTCTACCACTCCAGTTCCTCCCATGCTAGGCCATCTCTTTGGAAATTGCCTCAAACACAAAATAGAAAGTCAGGATCAAAGGAAGAAGGATATAATTAGACTAAAGCACAGCGGGAGATAGCAGTGGAAGATGTGAAAATAAAACAGCAGTAGTTTGTGAGCTGATCTGTGATATATAAGACTCGACTGTAGAAGAACCACAGCAGTTAGGATGAGAAATATGATTTTAGTGTTTCTGGTGAAATTATAACAAGTTCAGCCTATAAGTGAATGGGCTTTCCAGTGGCAAAGATGGACTTAAGATTATCCAGGTAGCAGTTTATGTTGTTCAGAAGGACAGCTCTAGGGTTTCTTCCAGGAGCTGGAGTGAAATATCTGAATTCAGATGAAGGTTTGGTCTGGGAGGTATTGGTATTCTTCTTGGATTGGCAAGCCTATTCACTTCCTCCAGAGGCTGTGGAGCAAAAAGGATCCCTTGTGTGGTTCTCCCTGGACTCCCTCATGCTTGTAGCACTGCACTGGTAAATGTTGTTAGTCAAATCTGACATTTCAGTGTTTTAGCTGGTTGCCTGGAGAGGCAAAAAAGGAATTCCCTTCCCAGGTATATAAACAGCTAAATGCAATTCTGGATCATGTGAGGATCATAGAAGGGACCTTTAAAGACCATCTAGTCCAACTCCCCTGCAGTGAACAGGGACATGCACAGCTAGATCAAGATTCCCATGTCCTGATGCAGCCTCTCCTTGAAAATCTCCAGGGATGGGGCATGAACCCCATCTCTGGGCAGCCTTTTCCAATGCCTTTTAAGGAAAAAAGATTTTTTCCTTATATCCAGCATAAATCTACCCTCTCTTTAAGCTTGAAGCCATTTCCCTTTGTTCTATCACCACAGACCCTGCTAAAGAGTCTGTCCCCTTCCTCCTTTAGAGACTGAAAAGCCCCTGTCAGCTCACTTCAGAGCCTTCTCATCTCCAGGCTGAACAGTCCCAGCTCTTTCAGCCTGTCCTTGTCCATCCCTTGGATCATCTTATTCATTTTCACTTCTCCTTTTGAACTGTCAGAGACTGGCCACAAAGGCGAGACATAACTGCTCAGGGAGTGGAGATGGAGATATCAGAGATGGAGATATCTGAGATAAAGAGCAAAGACTCCTCGCTCTGTGACAATCTTTGCCCTGTCCAGCTGTATCAGGTCTAACAGATAGCAGTTGGGAAGGAGAGGACATTTCATCAGCTCCATTTAGGTGACCTATCCTCTTGCCAAAACTTAGATGTCTCTGCTAGTGACCCTTGAAATGGCTTCTGCTGTCTTTCTGTTGTTTTGTAAACTCTTCTTCTCTTCAAAACACTGGGATAATAGAATCGATGGTTTGGGTTTGGAGGGACCTTAGAGACCATTTAATCCCAACCCACTGCCATGGTAGCACTGCCACCTATCAGCTCAAGCTGCCCAGGTCCTCATCCAAACTCACCTTGAATACCTCCAGGGATGGAGCACCCACAGCTTCTCTGAGCAGCCCATGCCAGTGGGGAAAAAAAAAAAAAAAAGTACTCGAGGTGAGGGCTGTAGCAGTGCAGAGCAAAGAAGGAAAAGCTCTACTTTGCTTAATGCTGCCCAAGTTACACTTTGCCCTTCTGGCTGCCAAGACATGCTGTTGACACAGGTTTTGTTTATTGTTGACAAAAACCTCAGATGCATTTTCTTGTCAACCCGGATTATCTGGGGGAAGATGAGGTGGAGAGTGCCAGCACTTCCCTGCAGCTTCTGGAGAAATCTAGAGGGCAGGCATGAAGAAGGGACAGTGGGGAGCTGCCAAGGTGAGCCTGACACCATCTTAGCCACTGGAAAATCTTTTCTTTCTTTAGTGTAGAAATCAACTAGAACTATCCTGGGAGAAGGTTAATGATCTGTCTTAAAACATGAAATTACACAAGGTGACCAAATTGTCCCTTTGTGGCTAAAAGGTTATGAAACATCTGGAAATCTATAACTGTGCTATAGAGTTGCCTGTGCAACAGTGTATGACACCTGACAGTGCAAATGCTTTGTATCTTCTGAAATTGTAGGGAATGGTACCCAGCAGGCAAGATGAACACAAGTCTGAGGTGGTGATCAGATCCTGGTTAGGAGGACACCTAGCTGGATTGCTGAGAGTGCAAGATAAAGTCAGACATGGATTTTATGTTAGTGGCTGAATGAATCCATAAATTGGTGTTTACTTACACCAGAAATGCACTACTAATAACTCTGTTGGATCCCAAAATGTTGAGTGTTTTCAAGCAGCTCTGAAAACAATACTGGCACAGAATCCTTTCATGCCTGGGACTTTCAGTGCTGTGGAACAAGGCCAAGGGCTATTTCTACATTTATTGTCTGTAATTTAGCAAGATGCTGAACACCTGCAACATCTGTTTGAGTCAGTTACCAGTCCTAAGCACATGCATAAACTGAGCATTAGGTGCTTAGATACATGGTTAAATAAGTAAGTCTAGTTATTAAAGTAATTGCTCACTCAGGTAGTCCTTAAAAAGGAGTATAAGCAAAACAATATGTTGTCTGAGCAAATCAGAATTTCCTTCCTTGATTACTAACAGAGATCAACATAAACTCATTTCTAATCTCTTGGCTGTCTTCTCTAGCTCTTTAGCAATGTGTAACATTCATCACATTAACACAAATACATATTAATATTCCAGGATTAATTAAATCCACTGAACTGACCTGCTCTTAGCAGTTACAGAAAATCAGTGCAGAACGTGGGGCTAGCCAGGACCAGGAGATGTGGACTTTCAAAGATGTCCCTACATCCTAGAACTGTCTTCCTAAAAATTGGTTTTGGACATAGCTTTTTGTTTTGACATTCACATCAGCTGTCTTCTTAGCTGACATATTGATTGGAGGGAGTCAGTCTTTCTGGTCTGCTAAAATATCACAGCATTAGAAAAAAAAAAAAAAAAAGGAAAGCTTTTGTCTTCTTGGCAACTCAACGTGAAAGCTTTCCAGAATATTGCTTTGCATAGCACGAAAATGGCTTTGAGCCAATGACTAATTATATTAAAAGGCTGTGCTTTTAAATTATTTATACGCCATAGTGTTTACCCTAGTATTATTAAAACCACCGCATATACTTCTACAAATAAGATTTTGCTTCAGATGAATGTGACAGTCTCTCTGTGGGTGATATACTGTACCAGGAGTTTCTACTTTAACGTAACAAATATCTTTATATGCATTAACAGATGCACTACTTGTGAAGCACTGCTGCAGAAGGGGATGCAGATGAAAATAATTTACCTCTGGTCCATTTAGACACAGATTACGCAACAATAATAAATGTAGGAGCAAGCTGCAAAGCGTTGTTTGAAATGAGGATTTATCAAACTGAAGGTTTAATACTGCTTTGGATCCAGATAGTGCTAACCAGGACCTTCTTTTGTTTGTACAGCAATTGCTGAGCATCCAGGAAGAATTAAATAACAAAAAATCAGAGCTGGAGCAAGCCAAGGAAGAGCAAACGCATACACAAGCAATGCTTAAAGTACTGCAGGAACAGGTGAGTGCTTCTGGTGGGAGAAAAATACTGTTTTAGGCATTCTAAGGGGATGGAGGAGTCATGGCTTTGCCTCCAAAATCCATAGGTGCCTGACCACTGACTGTGCTGTAAGCAAGACACGACCTTATGTCATGTCCACGTGTCTGCTCTGATTAGCATTTGTGAAAGCAGCCAGAGCTGACACAGAGTTTAAGGGAACAGAGTGAAAATGGACCCTTATTTTACACCATCCAGTAGTGAATTTACATCTTGAATAGCATTTCCACTTAATTTGTTCAACATAGATGTCAGTGAAGTGTATTTTCTCTCCAATAAAAAATGGAGAGTTAAATATGCCTGAAATGCTCTTTCAACACTAGTATTAAAGACAGAGAGCTTGTCATCTCCTGTGTCACTCATGCAGATATCATGAACTTATCCCAATGGCATTAAAAATAGTAGTTCACCAATGCACTTGAAAAGCAAATAGCTGTAAATCTAGTTCTTTTTCTTAGCTTTCTTTCATACTGCGGTGTTCTGTGCCACTGAGAAGTCTGTTAACACTGTTATTGTATAAGCAAGGTAAGATGGGCAGTTCCACAGCAGAAGGAAAATCTGGAGCTGGATTTGTAAAACTGGAGATGAAGCAGTGCAGGCACTGTGTGCAGGCACGGTTTGCACAAAATGAATGTGTTGTATATAAACCACACAGCACGGACACACTGAAATCACAGATCCCCACCTGTGCTGCATAGGAACAGTCTCTGCTGTGAGATGTATTTTTGTCCTTTCTACGTGAGCTTAAAGCTTAAGTATTTTGTGACTTGGTCATTATATGCAGTTTAAACACAGTGGGTTCTGAACTGCCTTGATGGCAGAGATTCAGCAGGTTCTCATGAGTAAGAGTTTTCACCATGTATGTGTGCATATGTCAAACATTTAAATATTTAATCTACATATCAGGACAAGTAAATTATGTGTATTTCAGATTTTTTTAATGCTCATTATGAAAGCTCTGACATTGTTCCACACCTAACAATTTTCTTTGAATACATCTTACGAGCAATATATTCTGTAAACTAATAATTTACATTCTGGAAAAATATTAAAGCTTTTATTTTCAGATATACATTCTAAGCACTTACTGTTACAAAGATAACCTTCTAAATGAGAACTGATGTGTGCTAGAAAAAGCCCTGGGGAAGAATGGATTGGGTAACAACAGCACCTTTACAAACACTACTAGAATCTACTAGATCTCTTGAGCTAATTGCACCTCATTTACATTCCTACATGGCATTTGAGGTACAGCATTATAAAATGCTCCCCAAAATAATAACAAAATTGAATGGCGTTACTTTATCTTGGTAGCAATTAAATTCTGCTGAAACATTCAGGAATATCTTATAATCTGAAGCTCCAGTAGGGACCGTAGGGACCACCAGGGCAGGCTTTTAAATCTCTGCAGACTCCTACTAATTGCGAATCAAATGTGCGCTCATGCTAGGCAGACAGACGAAACAGTTGCTGGAAAAAAGGCACAATGGATCTACATTTCTCTTGAGCATTAGCTGAAATATGCCTAGGGCTAAGGCTGTAAGTAGCCAGAATTCCTAAAGAGAGCTGCACAGCCAGCGTGCTTCTCCAACAACCCTGAATCATTTCCAAAATTTTCCAGAATAGCAAGAGCCCTAGCAGTAATGACCCCCACTTGCCAAGGCCCACAGCTTTCCTTTACAAGTACCACAGCTCATCTGTGTGTTCTTCCAACAATGAGTGTTAAAAATCATATGGCAGGGTCAAGTTAACACGAACGTTTCTTTAAAAAACACACAGTGCTCTGCTCCTGCCTCGATTGCATTAATCTTTTTTCATGATATGTTTGCTAACATCTGTGTTTTCATCTCAGACATCCTGCTGACAAACGTCCTGTTTGCTTGTGCACCAGGCTGCATGACTGTAGCAAAAGGCTACAAGTGTCCTTTGTATCACTTTCTTCCCTCTCTTTCAGGACTGGTTTAGTGGCTCACACCGCCTTGCATCATGAGGAATACAACAGGTCATGGCCATTTGCCTTAATTGTCAGATTAGCAACTGTGAGAAGGGACTGATCCATGGCTAGCTTTAGCTGTTGCTACCAGATAGCAAAAAGATGATAGGAGTAACATTGCAATCATACCATGGTGGTAGTTGCCCAAGGCTGCTGTGTCAGACACATAATCAAAACATAACAATGTCCATATTCACCTGGATTTTAAGTCCTACTGCCATTCAATGTCACAACTGTATCATCAGCAGTTAAATTCATTCCAAATTCTTTGGAAAAAAAAACAGATGGACACGAAGAGGAAAGATCTATTGACTGATTCCCATTTTCCCCCTTCCCCAAGTACCTACTTTGAATTAGGCTGGAAAAAATACATCACTTTTTAAATGGTGCTGACAGCTTCCTCTAAGAGTACAAACCTCCATGGTTCACAGGCTCAGGAGAGCTGTAGTGTCTTCTCAACCACAGGATGAATGATTATATATTCACTGTGGCTCAAGACATGAGCTAGGACCCTCCTTAAATCTCTCAGGAATGACTTTTCCAATCACCCATGTAATCCTGGATTTCCCCACAAAAGCCAGTTCAGGAGGAAAAAATGTTGTGGACCAGGTCATAAATTTGAAATTGGCAGCATTTCCTCGATTCTTCTTGCCAGTGGTTAAATAAAAGAGACGTACTTCACTTCACTTCCTTTTCCATCATACCCAGGAGCCATGTCAGTTATTTATATGCATCCTCATGAAGGAAAAATACAGTCAGTAGCATTTTTTGGCATCTTAAACAGCTCAAAATATATCATTCAAAAGTAATCATTAGCAAAACACTATTTAGCTGGTGGCAACTTGCAAATGTTGTAAAGTTTAAACTAATAGGGACAAGAATGGGAAATGAAATCATTTGTTATTCCTGAGAGCCAATTCTGCACACTTTTTATGCCTTGAAACTACTTTCTAATCTTATTATTTAAAAAATAATGACCCAGTCTTATTATTTTCCTTTCTTCTTCTTCTTCTTTTTTTTTTTGGCCAACCTATCAAGCCTTAAGTATGTGGGTTTCAAAATGGTTTGAGCAAAATCTCATTAGAATTATATGCTCCATCTGTTTTTCTCATTGGAAGCTTTATAAAACACTCCTTCAAATAAATCAAAGATAACTGTGTGAAATACTCAAGTAATGTGCTTGTTTTGTTCTGTTTTGTGTTTTTTGTTGTTGTTGTTTGTTTGTTTTGTTTACTCTTTGCAGTTAAAAAGCGCCAAGGAATTAGCAGAAATCAATGGGCATGATGAATCTCAGGCAAATGTAGGTACAGCTATATACGTATAGATTTAGAGATGTATATGCATGCTTATGGTCTCACATTTTTCTGTTTATGTCTTAAGCCTGATAGAATGGCTGAGTGATTTGCACATCATGTTTGAAGTGGCTGTTTTTTCCTGAAGCCACAGGTTCAAATCCCAGCAAACTTCATTTCGAGGTAGATAAATTGAGTTCCATGCAATTGACTTTGTGGGATTTATTTGAATGAGACTTTAACAACCAATGTCCTAGTTGTTATGAGTAGGTGTTAAAGATACCATGGAAACGACTGCAGAAGGGCTTCACCTCACTCTCCTGTCCAGGATTACTCAACCAACAGAGTTATGCTGTTTGTCTCTGTGGCTGGCACCTCGCAGCTGAGCAAGTTTGGCCGTATTTCAGTTCTGAGTGAGGCCATTCATGTACATGTATAATTTGAAAACAGCTAATTTGCACAAAAATGGCTGTAGTAATTCATTGACTCATTATTTCGTCCAAAATTATTAAAGGACTTGCTAAGGTCATGGTTTTTAAAACCGACTGCCAAAAAAAAACAAACACGCTCTTATTGTTCCCTTAATGACTGTTGTCAAAACAGCAATTTGTATAAGGGGAGAGGAAATAAAGGAAAACTTTTCCTGCTATGTTCGTAATCCAAACCATGCAGCTCTGGGTTCTGTCATAAACGAAAAAATTAAAACTGATTATACATGATATCTTCAACCCAGTCACAAGAACAGGTCTGAACACTTAATACATTTTAGCATCTATTTTAGTCAATATTTTCTCTAATGGCACAGCCAGGAAAGCAGTTTTCTTTTCAATCTGAATGGAACTCTCAATTTTTTGAGCTGCTTTGTGATAAGGGAATGTTGTGCTTCTTTTCTAATCCACCCCCAAATCTCATTCCTTGCGGCCTGTTTCCGCAGTGAAGCCAATAGAGCCTCACAGCTCTCAGCATTTGCACAGGAGACATTCAATATTGTCTGATAGCTCCAACAAATCTGCAGTCGCAGTCTGTCTGCACAGCGTCTCGTTGTCCCTTGGAAAGACTCTGTTTGCAAACCCAAATAAAGACATTAATCCGCTGATGATCTTGAAATGCTCACATTTGCTTCCTAAAAACTTTTATCTGTACAAACAGCTGCTTTTAAATTTCCTAAGGGAATCTAGAAACTTTCCAAAGGAACTTGAACCCCTCTTCAAAAATGTGCATGAAGCAGTGTTTCACCAGAGTGAAATGTTTTAGGGGAAAATTTCCAAGATACTTCAACTTTTATCCTTCTGATCCACATAAAGCAGAATCACAGAATCATCGAGGTTGGAAAAGACCTCCAGGATCATCCAGTGCAACCATCCACCTACTACCAATATTTCCCCACTAAACCATGTCCCTCAGTACAGAAGAGCATGGAAGATATATTTTTATATAATATATAGGTTTAAATAACATTAAAATAAGATGTTTCTGTTCTGTAAAGAGAGGGTTTCAGTAGATTCATTCCCGGAATTCAAAACAAAATATTGCAGAATCTTTGGTTAATGGTATATTGTTCAAAATTTAATATTCTGTTCTAGTTTTTAATTCTAGGAGTTGTGCCTGAGTTTTGCTCTGTTTTCTGCTCCTCTTTTCTGTCATCTCTTCCCATGATGACCACACAGCAATATTAGATTCTTCAGAAAAGAAGTCAATACCTAAATTAATGCTGATGAGGTAAATTAGATGAGTACAATTACTAGGTCACAATTACAGCCACGTAATCAGCAACGATGCCACTAAGAGATCCAAGATGGCACAGCAGCACAGATAGAAATGGAGAGCTAAAGGAACATAATGGATGCTAAAGCATTTGTGACATTAGTGAACTTTGTAAACCAGAAGTTGAGGCACTTATGAAACAAGTGTCCTTTATATTGAATGTGTAGAGCACGGGTTTTGTGCCTTGCAGGTTGTCTCTCCACATCTACTCTCAGCAGACGTCCTGGCTCTCGCCTTTGGCCAGTGTGTCAATCTGGGATGATCAAAGAGAAAAAGGCCTGGTGGCTCCTGCGTGGCTGTTAGTGAATTGTGATGCATATAATGGGATTAAGATATATTTGTTACAGTTGACAGGTTGAATTCAGCAAATGAAATACCTTTACATGAAGAGCAGTGGTGGTAGGTGTTGGTAAGGAAAAATGACAGTGTACGTCGATACACAGAACACAATCTAATCTTCACACTGTGGCATGTTTCTCTGCAGAAAGCCAAGCTCCTAAAAAGGAGAATAAGAAACTCAGGACATGTTGCATACACATAAAAAAAATTCCCATTATAATGTTAAAAGTTTATCGCCTCCAGTCCTGTGGCTTTCTGCTGATGGCACTGGTCTGCATTATATTTTACATTAAAAATATATTGGTTTTTAGGGTAAAATCTGAAAATATCTTTCCTAGGAAAAAAATGTATACTTATACCAAAGCTGGCATTTTTTTAATGTTTCAGTTATGTCAGATCATCCTGAAATAAAAGTGAGGAGCTGGATTCTTTGGGAAACATAACAGTATGCCTCCTGAAATGTGCCCCATACATAAAACATGCAGAACTTTACTTTTTTTTGCCCTCGCTTTAGTCAGGAGAATTAAGCACAGCTAATTCAGAAGCTGGAGCAATGGCAACGTTACCCTTCTTGCCATGACAGTTCACAAAGCACAAAGCTGGGGGGACAGGAAGCAGAAATGAGTGCTTTGCAGGTATGGCAGTTATTTCTAGAAAGCACAGCCATCTCAACAGGGTCTGTAAACAGTTACAAGGATGTTTCACATGTGACTTACCAGTCGTATGTGGTACTATTTGTTCTGGCTGTTGTCCCTTCCTAACTACAGCCTATGGTCTGTAGGAAAGGCCAGGTTGCAGGCTCAGGTGGTTCTTGGAGCAAAAGAACCTACCGCTGATAGAGTCCTTAGCACCCAGCACTGCCAGAGGGGCAGCCACAGAGCATTCATTTTCTCCAGCCCTGCAGTCAGGAAAAGATTGCTTCTTGCTTCTAATCTGTACTTTTAATTTCCTCCTCGTTGCTGCATATAATGCTGTTTAATTCACATCTCTGTCTTAACTGAAAATAATGGCCAACATACAATTATAATTTCAGATGCAATCCTCTTCCAGGATATGTGCTCTTGGGACCTGATTAGTCCCAATGAGAAAAAAAAAATAAAGTCCTGCACAGGATGTGTGCTTGAGAAGAGAGCATTTTGCAACCTGAAAATATTCATCTCATGTTTTGTGTTTCATGTAAATGTCATTTTATTCTTCCACTGTTTCTGTGATTTCATTGTCTTTCTACAGAGGATCTTCTGTTAAGGGCAGTGCTGTACTTTAACTGAAGACCTCCTTTTTATTCACTTGCTGTGTTCAGCATAACATGCAAATACAGTTACACAGCCTTGGTGAATATATCAGGAAATTTTGACCTCCATGGTATCTTTCTATTCTTAGTAGTGAACAAGAGGTTTTGAACGTGAAACTTAACTTAGATCTGGATGATTTTTTTTTCCAGAATTTGTCTTCCTCCCTTGACAGCTAAATGTCTTTTCTTAGATGGAGAATAACTCCTGTGAATATCTCCCACCCCTTGTAAAAGTACAACGAAATGGCAGTCAAGAGTACCAGCCCTTCACGTTCAAACCAAAGCAAGGGATGGGTCATGGTCATAAGAAGCATTTTGAATGCTTGGATTTAAATTGCATGGTAAAATCCCCACTCTCTTGTAGTCAATATTTAAATACCTCTCAAATTCAATAAGCCAGGATTTCACCAGAAGACTTCTAGGATCATAACTTCATTATAAGCAGGTTATAATACAATATATATGTAGTTTTATACAAGGGCAAAGGTGATCTCGCCACAAGTTTTTTAACAGATTTTTTTTTTTTCCATTTTGAGTTTCATTGCTTGAACAAAGTAATGACTTTGGCCTTATTCATCTGTGACCTTCTAGTTAGCATCTCCAGAAAGTTGGATGCAATATTTTGTGGATTTGTCTCCAGACATGGAATCAATAATATTAAGTAAGGATGCATTTTTCGATTTGAATGCTTGAAGCTATTACTGGAGCGTTTCTCAAGTTCAACCAAGCATCTTACATTTGATGTTGATTCTTCCTTTAATTTTTTCTCCCTGTATCTGCTTTTCAAGCAATTACCAGACAATCCTTATCTCTGAGGAGGAGTATACCCAGGGTGAAATGTTTCAACCATTTTACTAAATTGCTCACTTTATGCTACAGTGGAAGTGATGTTATTTTTAACTACAGCCTAGTCTTGTATTTTCACACTTAGTGGGTTAATCGCTGATGATCTTCACCAAAGATACAAGATAGCTCTTAAATAAGGCTCGAATTTGTGGCCAGCTGGGCCAAGATCTAGAAAGTTAATTCCCCTCAGTTTTGGGGGAAGTCTGTTAATTCCACTGAACTTTTCAGAGTTCATGTGCTCACCAGGCAGACCTTTAATGGAAATACCCAAGATACACGCTGTGAGCATTCCATGTCAGTATATATGTTAGTACACATCTGCCATAGGATGGGGCACCTTGATGCTGTTTGTGTGTCTGCCTCACACTGAGTGTGATGAAAAGAGACCTCGAACACAGGCAGAGGAGAGGCAGCTAGAGGAGAGCAAGGCATGCTTGAATTGTCCCACTGGCTCAGGACTATGGGACAACAGCTGGTCACCTTTATTGATGAGAATCCCAAGAAAGTGGTGGCTGATGCTTTTGCTTCACTTCTTAGTGGGTGCCACAGTTATCTCCTGGACAACCCTCTCTTCAGAAGGCTTATCTTCACAGAAAACACGAACTTGAGATTAAAAATGTTCTCTATAGCACTAATATAAAAGCAATTTGGTACTAAAATTATAGGCCAGCAAACCTTAGTGCAGG